GGACCAGTTGCGCCAGGCTTTCAGTGCGGCGGCCGCGTTGATGGTGCTCTGTGGCTGGCAAAGGCAACCACGCGTACCTGTAAAGAATACGCGTATCTCTGCTGCCGGGCTGCCGTCGTAGCTGTCAGTCCCCTCCTCCTCGCATGTGCCTCGGCCACGCGCCGCAATCTCGTCGTCGGTCAGCACAGATCCCTGCGGCCCGCCGCGCTTATTCGGCGCCATGGCTGTCCACGCAAATGCTGTGACATGGTGAGGTTTTCAGGCGTGCAGGAGGTGGCGGCAATGAGCTAGTGCTCATATTGAGGACTGACTTGGGGACGAGGGCTGGGTGATGCTGTGGCTCCGGCTGTGCGCGGAGCTCATGCGCTGACGGACGCACCACTATGGCAGCAGCTAAACGCGCAGAAATCAAATCATAAAAATTCCAGCTTCAATGGAAGCGATGCTGCTTGCCTGCACGTTCGTCCTGTTCAAATCAATGCAGATCGCCGGCGATCTGCTTGCACCTCAAACTCAGTGCTACATGAGAACATGGGCAATTCAGGCCAAAAGAAAGTGCGGAACCACGACGCAGCACGCATCATACGAATCGTAAGCCCAGTGACTGCAAGTGACAACCTCATGACCAGGAAGTACCGTACGGTACACCATGCAGGCCAGACTCACGTTCATTATGCACGACGAAGCGCCATTCAACAGCCCATGCAGCTGCTCATCAAGATACTGCCTGTACTGGACATATCGGGTGCTGCTAAGGAGCCAACTACTCAATGCACATCCAAGAAGGCGCAGACACTGCTGCTCAACAGTGAGACTGCTCGTTTACATATCTGTAGTCACTCACGCCTGTATCCACAATCAGACCACACTAGCGGTGGACAAACACAAGGGACAGTCAGGTGTGGTGAGGTCAAGTCAGGTTCAAATTTGTGGGCATAATTTGCCGCAGGAAACACTGGAGCACACTGTGTAGAAGGTCCAAAGAAAGTCAGGAGGTTGGTCAAACCATGCGGAGCCGGCCGCAAATGAGGTCTTGCGCGCCAAAGCGCAACACATGCATCACATTTGTCCAGAAAACACAGACAGCACAGTAAAATATTCACGTGTGCGCATAGACGTGCCCCAGGCAGCGTGCTGCAGGTTGCATTGCAGCTGGAGGGTGCGGACAGAGGCCCGAAGTCAACCCGGCAGCTCAAGAGACGCGGGCTGCATGGTGAAAGGAATTGTCAAAGGCAGGGAGTGCACTGCAAGGCAGCCCAACCACAAATGCACCGGCCTTTCTGCTGCGTGCTGCTGCTGGTGCTGGTCACGGCCTGCCTGGCGCCGGGGCGGAGGCGAGCGGCCCTCGCCGCCCCACCCCGCCTCACTCGTCCAGAACGGCGGCGGGCGGCGCGACCGCGGAGGCCTCGCAGAATTTGGGGGTCGCGTACTTTTTGCACACGGCCTGCAGGCTGCTGCTTGGGGCGCGCTGCAGGACCCGCACGACCTCCTTGGCCACGTGCAGCACGTCCTCGCGCCGCTTGTGCGCGTGGCGCATCAGCGAGTGCGGGTAGGGGTCGCTCTGCGGGGCGCGGCGAGGCAGGGGCGAGGATGAATGAAGGGTGGCCGACAGCAACGAAACAACAGTGCGCTCACATGAGGCTGCGGAGGGAGCGGCACTCTCTGACACGTCACAGCTGGAGCCGCAGGCCGATCAGCAGATGCGCAGAGATGGCGCACGATGCAGAGCACGCATCGTGGGGCCGCTCACCTTTCCAAACGCCCGCATGGCTACGTACATGACGCCGGCCGCCATCTCTGTGCTGCTGAAGCGCAGGCAGCCGTAGTCCACCAGGCAGAGCTCCGCGCAGTAGGCCACAAACAGCGCCAGGGGCTTCTCATAGTGCACGCCGGCCGCCTTGAGAAGCCGCGCCAGGTATTGGTAGCTGCGGGGGGTCGATCAGCCAAAAGGGGGGCCGGCGGTTGCAAGCAAGGGGGTTTAGCAAGCTGGGCCATGCGATTGCGAGGGAAAGCACAAGCATCAGCGTTGTGCTCCGCGGCGCATGGCGCAGCGAAGCAGCGTGCGGCTGCGCGGCGGTGCCCCTGTGCAGCCGCGTACCTGGTGGGCATGGTGAGCTGGTAGTCCAGGGCGGCCAGCATCTTGCGTTCCATGGCCAGGATCTGGGCGCGGTCGTAGGCCTTGTCGCTGATGTACACAAAGTCGCGCACCTGTTGCGTCCGCATCCAGGGAGCCGAACATGTGCGCGAGCAACGTGCAGGGTGCATGGCCAGGCAGGCCGCTTGGCGTGGCGGGGCAGCCAGTCCTCCACGCTGCGAGCTGTGCGTTCCTACGCCCGCTCACTGCAAATGCAGGGTGTCCACAGGGCGGTCTGCCAATGGACACAACAACTTGCCGACTCGCTAGCCAGCGGCGCGCACCTCCGGCGCCCAGATCTCCTCGTATTTGGCCGCAATCAGCATCGCCGTCACGCCCACCTGGCGCATGCGGCAACGCGCGAGGGCGGTCGGAACAGCATGCTGCCGTGCCCAGGGAGCCCCAGCGCCCCGACCCGCATGCTGCATGAGCTCCGCCCTGTCGCGCAGCTGTGATCACACAGGGCTGCAGCACGGCGAGGCGCGCAGGTGGGGAGATTTGAGCCAGAGCAGGGGAGGGGCGCACCAGCTGCAGGTTCTTGCGCGCCACCTGGGCCACCGCCAGGTAGCGGTCGATCAGGGACACCGTCAGGAACAGCGTCTCCGGCATCAGCTGCAAGGATGAGGGGGCAGGCGATTGGTTAGGCTGCCGGGGAAGGGGCGGGGGGGCTGCGGTCACAGGTCATGGCAGCCGCGGCACGCGCAGGGCTAAGGAGGTTTGTAAGCGCGTGTCGAGACCAGTGAGCTGGGTGTAGGATCGAGGCCGACGATGCGGCCTGTGAGGTTGAGGCATGGCTCAAGGCAAGCCGGGTGAGCTACGCCGCGCCTGCACCTTGAATTTGAGGTGCACCTCGACCAGCCAGTCCACCAAAATGGCGCGCATCTTCTCGTTGATGTCAGCCTGCGCCAATGGTGTGTATCAGGGGGCATGCGAGGCACTGTTGGCAGCAGGCATTGTTAGCTAGTGTGCTGCAAAACATGCACGTAGCAGCCGTAGGCGCCCAGACGCGGCTGAGACCTTCTCACATGCATTCTCCAATGCTGTCACTGTGGCGTGGCTTTGCGCCGCAGGCCCTCCACCGCCTGTCAACAAACTGCATGACAGCTGCCATGGTCCCTGCGCCACACCTGCCGCGCCATGTAGTCTGCCGGCACCCTGAAGAGCGGCTCGACGCGCCGGTAATATTTGTAGATGTCGTTGACGTAAGTAGCCGCCGCCAGGGGGTTTGCACGGTCGACAGCGTCGATGTCGGGAAGCGGCGACCTCCGTCCGGCTGCCCGCTGCTGCCCCGTTGCGTGCGGCGCTGTTGACGCCTCGCTGCGCGCTTGCAGCAGCGTGCTCATGCTGACACCTGTCTGCATCGCGCGCGTCTGCGAGCGCGTGATGCGGACGCCTCCTCCTGGGAGCGCCCTGGCTGCCGCGCCGCCTGCTGGTTGGATGGCCGCACCATGCTGCTTGCCAACCTGCACACCCCCCGGTTGTTGTGGAGCCGTGCGGTGGGTACGCACGGACCACGCACGTTCGAGAGGAACCTGCAAACCTTATCTGAGCTGTAGGCCTGCAATACACATGGATAAGGGACCTGCAATTCTGCAGTCGCGCTGTTCCCGTGAGGCCGGCCTCACCTTCTCAGGCCCGGATCGACCCTGAGCGCTGCTGAGATTCGAGTTTACATCGCCTAGAGCCCTGTGTTGGCGGTACAGCGGCTGTTGAGCGCCCCAGGCGCGGGCACATTGTTGATCGGCACAAGCGGTCCCTTGCTCACCTCCGCTTGTTTCCCGTTTGCAGATGCACTCCTTTGGCAGCGTCTCTCGCATCATAATGGGGGTTCTCCGCCTCGCTGCTGCCCACCGCCTGCATTGCTCCTCGCTGCTGCTGCTCCTCGCCGTTCCTAGCTTGCTTCGCTCATCAGGTCTAATAAAAAGCAACAGCTTTATGATGCCAGCGTTAATGAGGAGGGCATGGCCACCAGCTGGTGTTGCCAACTTGAATCAAACATTTCGATCATCCGAGTGCCTGGTGCGTTCGTCCAGGGCTCGAACAGCTGGTGACAGCGACCGGTCATACCTAAATTTTGCAGAATAATTCAGTTAAGAGGCCTGCATCAGCCCTGCCGCAGCATGCAGTGTGTCGCACATCATCATGCTGAGGATGCCCTATCTTTTTGGGTTGACTTTGGTCAACACCCGATGCCGATTGTCCACCTGCGAGGGGGGATCAACAGCCTGCCTTCATACTCAGGCTGCAGTCCTATTTGAAGCTTCTTGCTCTGAGTGCATGGCTTGCTCAGCTCCCTTGCTTTGCTAACCCCATCACTTCGCCCCCCTTTCGCTTAGCCACCCTGCTGCTTTGATGATACGCCGCCTCACAGGCGGCTGCATATTCCTCGTTTTGACTGTTTGCTTGTGCCTGAACTCAACCTGATCCGAACTTCAACTGGTTAACAATGGGTTGACCCACAACAGTCAACTGGGTTGACGGCAAACGCCACTAGCACCAAGACGGTGGTTAAAAAAATCCCTCAAACACGCAACGGCGATGAGTGCAAGCACAAATGAACCAACGCAATATTCTTTCAACACACAAAACTGATCACGAGATGAGTGAGCTGCTGCAAAAGAGGGGATCACGGTGCCTTGTAGACGCCAACTTCAGCCGCTCGCAACACTCGGTCGTGCATCTTGTAGCCGCGCTGAGGGGCGCGAGGAGGGGCAACGGCGCAGGATGGAGACGGTGAGTGAGTGATGTCGGTGGAAGCCATCTGTTTGCCGAGATGAAGACTGCATAACTGTATAGGCCCCTGCAGCATGCTGAACTGGCGCCAACAAGGCAGCACGAGGCAGAAAATCACCGGGCCAAGTCAAGTTGCACGCCCGTCAAATCACCTTGGTGACAACAGCCACCAAGCCGGCCTCCTTGGTGCCATCAGGGACCTCAAACATAGCCTGGTGCAGGTTCGGATCAAATTTCTCGCCCGCAGGGTTGTACTGCTCCACGCCGTGCTTTTTGAACACCTGGCAGGGCAATGGCAGGGCATAAGGCTTTGCATCCAGCAACTGCTTACTAAATTCAAGCCGCATGCACGGCATCTGCGCAGGCACGTGTGCGCCTTGAGGCACACAAGGCCCTTGGGGTATATGCTGTGCAAAATGCAACCGCCACCCGCCGGCTTCGCCACCTCAGAAACAGGACGCCTGCACCCATGCGTCCACCAGGCCCTCTTACGTTGATGAGCACGCCCTCGGTCATCCGCACCCCCTGCAGCAGCGACTTGAGCAACCGCTGCGCCTTTTCTGCCTCCAGCTGCTCGTCGCCGTCCACCACGCCGGCCGGCACCGCCTCTGCCGCGCGCTGCAGGTTGTCGGCCACATCAAGCAGCGACTTGATGATGGGCTGCGGTACGACAGGGAGTCAAAGCGGGATGACAAGAAGGCGGGGTTAAGTGCGAGGTACTCGCAAGCACACCAGCAACTGACACAATGCCCTGAGCGCCCTGTCGCTGTGCTGGAGCATGCGCAAGGGCGTAGAGTGCCTAGAAACGGCCGTCCAGCCGCTGCCCCCCACACACACATCGTCAACCCACCTCCACTGCAAATTTCTGCGCATTTTCTATCTGCCGCGCTGTTCGTTGGCGCACGTTCTCCATCTCTGCCAGGCTTCGCTTGAACGAGTCGGCCAGGTCGTTGACCTGAGCATTGCAGAGTGATGGCGGCGACAACAGGTGCCCTGGGCACGGGCATGCTGCACCTTGTGCGCCCCGACTGCCCCTCATGCTGCTGGGGTGTATAGCATGGATAGCAACAGCGTGACCAAAAACTCCACAACTCGCCTTGGCTTGCAGCTCCTCTACGGCCTTCTCACGCTCACGCAGCTCAGCCGCCAGCTGCTCCACAGTTGGCTGCTCCTCCGCCTCAGCGCCAGACGGCCTGGCAGAATCCGCAGCAGCAGCCGCGCCCTCCGTGTCTGATGTGGTTTCTTGATTTTCCTTGCTGCCGCCGGCCGCTGAATCAGCATATCCCGCAAACTGCAGCTGCACGAGTGGCGACGCCCACTGCTGCCGCCACAGCATCGGTACCGCTGCCGATGCAGGCGCGGCGCCCTGTGTGCGTGTATCGATCGTGGACGGATGCTAGAAAAATGAGAGCGCCGTGCGAAGGGCGCAGGAAAACTTCGAGATGATGTACACCCACCACGCAGAGAGTCCGACGCACCTTCCATGCCTGCTGCACGAGCGCAGACTGGGCCCCTAAGGAGGCTGTAGGAATCCGTGAGAGGAGCGAACGCCCCGCGAGCCGCAGCACGCCGCTCGCAGATCGCTGCATGGTTGATCTGACCTTTACGGGAGCGTTAAAGGTGCCTGAGCTATCACAAGGTCCACGCGATGCATATGCGTTCAGTGCAGCGATAAGACCGCGCGCCTCGCCTCGGAAGAACTCGTCAGTCGTCACTGGGTGGGTTCCTAGAAAGTTAGGCCTTGGATCCCCTCAGTGCGGCCTCGGAAATTCACTCACAACTAACGTTTGGGCCACAGCCTCCTCAAGCGGCATACGCCCACCTGTCGCCAACACCGTGACCAACCTCCGTTCGCCGGGATCGCAGGCCTCGGCTGGTTGGAAACCTGTGTCATCGGTAGATTATTGTTCGTAATATCTTCTCAACCCGCTCATCCATTGGTTGCCCGTGATCTTTCAGAGCAACACTCTCTATCCAGCGACCCCGCGTCGTGAGTTAGTGGCCAGCTGGCCTGAGGTTGTGGTCGAGCCTTCTCTAACCTTGACGGCCACTTTGTAGCTGCCCCGCCAAGATGGCGGCGGAGGCAGAGGCGCAGGCAGCGGCGGTGCTGGAGCAGCTGCAGCGCGTTGGCGCCAAGGTGTTCTTTGAGAAGCAGCTGACGTCTAGCGATGTTAGTGCTTCGGGACGCGTGGTGGTGCCCAAGGTGAGCCGTACATTACGCCGCCATGCGGGGGCAGTGCAATGGTACGGGACCTGCACGGTGCGGTAGAATTGCCGCGTGCACCGAGAGAGTGCACTTGGGGACCCTTGCTTATTCTCCACGGGTGCCATGACACCGCATAGTAGTAGTCATGTCAGCAAGGACTGGCAACCCTGAGCACCCTGGGGCTTTCGGATTGTGTTAGGGCGTGTTGACGCCGCTGCACCCCCGTGGTGCTGCTGCCGCGCCTGCTCGTCACCTTTCCTGGCCAGGCCATGGCCGAGCAGTACTTCCCAAAGCTGGACAACCCAGCTGGCATATCATTGGAGGTCGAAGACGCGCACGGAGAAACATACACGCTGCGGTGGAGGTGGGTGCTGCAGGGGCGTGCGCCGCCGCAACACAAGGGATGCAATGTCCGCTCGACAGCGGTGTTGGGCGGCGGGCGGCCCTCAGCGAGCCTCGGTGCCGCTAGGGGCTGGGACGACGGCATGTTTGCACTCGTTCTGCCGACCTAACCATCATTCCAAGCGTTGGGGCCTGCTGTCGGTTCCGTCTGCGCCGCTGCTGATCCCCTGCTTCCCGCTCATCCCCGCCGCCACCCCTACATGCAAGGTTTTGGATCAACAACCAGAGCCGCATGTACCTGCTGGAGGGCACCGCGGACCTGCAGCACCGCTACCATTTGAAGATGGGAGACGTTCTGATCTTTGCCCAGAAGGGGGACAAGGACAAGGCCGTCGTGCTGGCCGGCCGCCCCGCCACGCGCGCTGACGCCATGCGCAAGGCGGCCGCGGCGGCGCGCAAGCCGTCGCCGACGCCGGCGGGAGGCGGCGGTGGCAAGGGCGGGGCCGGGCGCAACAAAGACGTGAGCATGGGGCAATGAAGCAAACGAGGGGTTTCTGATCGCTGCGCATGTCATCTGGTCAATTTCAGGCTGGCTTACCCATGCCATATGAACTGGTGCCCCCTGCCCCACCCCGGCCCCAAGCGCCGCCC